GCCTGCGCGTCCTGAAAGACAGTTTGCCGTGCGGGTTCAGAAAACTTAACCGTCGTGCGTTTGGAACACCCACGAAAGCACGCAGATAGCTTGGTGCAAACTAATGCATGGTCGGATTTGAGGGAAGTGTTCCAGTACGATTGGCAGTTTTGTATGCGAGAACAGTGGCAGAGTTTTCATCTTAGGCGCTACTGTTACTACGGTCGTCTGAAGAACCCGAGGGAGGGGGTAAAGATAGGATGCGGGGGGATGAGTGTTTGTCCGGTGTATAGTGTTTATCTCTAGGTACAGAAATGGTACACTGAATGCACATAGAAGTCGAAGAGTTCAGCATTGCTGTCGTTGTGGGCTGTTGTACTACTCCGTCGCCCGGTCCAGCGTAGGCTTTGTTCGAGGGTGTACTCTAGCCTTTGCGCAACCGAGCGTAGACTGCAGTGATGTTACAGATGAGCCGGTGGCCAGCATTTCGTTCATGCGTCTCTTCTGGAAAACCTTGCCGAACAATAGATTTCGACAAGGGGGAGTCGGCCGTATTTAGTCACGCGCCACACTCGCCACGTCACGGCGCTGTCCTCAGATGTGTGGCTTTTTTTGCAGAGTACTCCTGCTAGGAGGTAAACCCACATCCTCGAGCACTGTTGCTGATCGTCCGCGACCGCTTACTCGTAGGGCCGAAGCCCACCTTATTCACGGTTAGCCGTGAGTTGACGACAGGTCCCCTGTCCGCAACCTGGGGACGCGCTCGGTAGCATGCAGCTCTGCTCTCCCGAGTAATGGATATTTAAACCTTATTTGTTCTGATAAGCATGACATGTTTATGTAACCATTTACTGATAGCCCTCATTTACTCGGGTTTGGTTGATAACTGAACCCGTCTTGCTGTTAGCAACGCCAGTGTTTGTTGAAATTGGCTCTTGTCCGTGATTCATTGATCAAGTCCAGCGCTCATGAATCTACTGAGAAACTTACGGGAAGCAAAATGGCAAGAAGGGAAAACCTCCGTTGTGAAACCATCGGTTAAGGGACAACTACGGAAGTAACGTTTGGGCCTCTTCGGTGAAAAATTGTCGTTCCTATAGCGACTCAGAAACAGGAAGTAGGAACAGCCCGGGCCATAACCTTGTACTCGTCCAATAAAAGTTTCACCTCACTGGTCGCCGTAGGACTCGTCCTCCAGGTAAACTCAACGTCACTACCTGAGAATAGGCATGTGTTACCGGACGCCACCGCTTCTAACGTAGTCTTACTTTCTCTGACCTGAATACCCTCGGATAAAGCAGAGCTGAATGCTACCAAGCGCGTCCCCAGGTTGTGGATAGGGGGATACCTTCACAGAAGAAGGTTAGCTGTGAATAAGTTGTGGTATACCGCAAAAAATAACCAGTCGCGAACAAACAGCGGCGGCATTATCAGGGTGTGGTGGGTTTCAGGCTGGTCACCTGGCTCCTGTCTAAAAGCCACATAAGCCCAATGACGGTGTCGTGTCAATGTGACTGGCCTTTTAAAACTAAAGTCATTAACCCCCTCACTTCAGAGCCGAGGGTTTACTTCCTGCTGCCTTGCAGTCCGTACTTGGTTATGCAAAGGCTGGAGGTNTCCAAGGAGCCAGTCGTAGTAAAGTAAAAGTAAATTTCTATGAGCGATTCAACTGTCGACACGTAATGGTTCGCACGTGAACGGTTTACGCGTGAGAACCAGGCTCGTATCAGACCTGATCGAGGTTGCATCGACCACATCTTCACTCTTCATCGAATTCTAGAACACAGGCACTCCTTTCGTAGACCTGTTTTCCTCGATTTGAAAGGGGCTTTCGACTCAGTTGACCGCTCTAAACTCTGGCGCTTCATCGCTCCAAAAAGTGTGCCTGAGAAATTTATTTCAATATTACGATCGCTTTATACTAATAGC